TCTTGAGGGGAAAAGACAACCATCCCTTTGCTATTGTAAAAATCTCTGCTACATGAAAAACAGATGTCTTCTTTGTTACTGTATCTAATAGTTCAGGCTTTATTTTTTTGACTTTAATCTTTAGTGAATCTGGTTCTTTGTAGAGTTTGTTTTTTGTTTTGGTGCGATGGTGAGGTTTTCCTTCAAATAGGAGAGTAATCCAGAGGGACAAATGCAAATAGAGATTTCCACTGTGTTTCTTTATACTTTTTGTTTGACCTGATAAAGGGACTTTTGTAAAAATGAGAAGAATTGCAATAAAAAAATCATCTCATGCCTTTTTTTCAGGTTTTACAGACTTGACAAATAAGCAGCTGGTAACTAGCCTCATTTCTTTGTATGCACAAGTGGTCATCTGGTTCTGTCGATCCAGTCTCCTTCCTGAGGGTTTAGGTAAGCCTAAACTGTAATACCAGAATGCTTTTTTTACAGCAGAAGCACTAGCTGCATGTTTTGAACCTTTTGTTTATTGCTCAAGGTGAGCATATACGTTGGAAATGCTCTTAATTTAAATAGATTATAAATTCTATTGCCAACCTTCATTGCCTACTACCTTACAAATGCTAGCATGATACGTTCAAAAAACCGTTCCCTTTGATAGTCATTTATCTAATAGTGAACTTGAGCTTTTCACTTCATGCTCTGAATGCTGCATCAGCAGTAAACTTGAAGTGGATCTTGAGACAGGAAGAAGTATTCAGACCTTCTGTCTTAGTTCTCTTTTAGCAAGGGCAGAAACAGCATTGCATTATTTGAGAGTTGGAGGTGTTAGAAATGATACGGCTTTAATAAATTTTTTGAATTAATGGCAGTGAGTGACTAGGTTTCTTTTCACAGACTCTTGTCAGTATCAGCTTTTAACAACCGAAGCTTTGAGTTTCTCGGGTTCTGATAAGGTTCAATAAATAAAACCTGAGGGAGTTGAAGATTGGACATGTGAGATCTTGGAGTAACCAGAAGATACAGATGAGATTAACAAAGACATTACAGTCTGAGAGTTGGAAACTCTCTGTCTGAGGAAGAATGATAAGAGGAACATAGAATGCAGACTAAATTAGCATTAAGGGCAAGAGATCAATAACCAATAAAAGATACAATACTAATTAACGCAGAGACTTGTGTAACTTAGAACCAATGAATGTTAATTTCTTCTTTTCCTAAAACATATAAGTACATGAAAGTCTTGAAAAGGATATATGTAGCTGGAATGATTTGCTACATATCTCTTGCCAGAATAAAGTAATGCCTGGCTCACTAACACTTAAAAGCTAGTGTTGGAGGGTTTCATTTCTTCTTGATGATTTTTGATGGCAGAGGCTTCTTGATGCTTGTATAATTTTCTGTCTTTTTTTGTCAGAAGTCTTAGTTGAAATACCTCTTTAACCTGCTTTTATATTATTGCCTGTAGATGATCATATGCATTTGTCTAGACCTTTCTACAATTATCCTTTGATTCAGAGCTACTATACTGGTCACCGACAGAAACTTGAGCGTTTATCAAGGTAAGACTTGCAGGAAAGCTCTAGAAAAGCTTCCTCTCTTAGACTGTAGGAGGGTGGAGTTTTTTTCCACTTAAAACCCTTTGCCTGTGCTTCCTTGGTTTTACACATAATACAACAGCAAAGAAAACCTATAAATGCTCATTGCAACTTTTCTATTGGGTTTCTACTTTAGACTCCTTTACTAATTCTTGTGACCTAAAGACCATCTTTCCTCCAACACAGAAATATCTGCCATGTGCATTTCAAGCCATAATCATGCCTGTGTGCGTGTGTTCCTTTCTTTGATTCATAGGAAGGGGGTTTTTTATTTTGACTGGTGGAAATCTGTTACACTGAGAGGCTGGACTTAGTGGTTTATTCTGTCCAACTCCTTGCTCCTTTTTGTTGCAGAGGAAAATGGGATTCTGACTGCTTGATGATTGATGGAATGGTTTCCCAGTTAGGAGACCAAGTGGAGAAGTTGTGGCAGAGAGATGAAGGAGGAACTGGGAAATACCCACCTGCTAGTTTACATGTGAGTGTTCTGTTCACTGAAAACACCACCACCAGCAGCAGTCCCCCAAAGCCAACGATTTTGAAAGACAGGAGCAATAGAAAACCTTTTAATCTTTCATTTCAGGCACTGCTGGATCTCTATTTGCTGGAAAGCGTTGAAGAAAGTGACAAACATGCAATTGTATCCTTTCTAGTTTTTGTCATTGAGCCTTCAGAACAGGCACATAACTGTTCTTATGTGTTTGTCATTTATGTGTTTAACAATGTTTTTAAATTTATGCTTCAAACAGAATGTGAGTGAACATATTTAGTATAGAATTAAGTCCTAGACAGAAGCATTGCTTTATTTCTTTCTAGTTTGGATCTTTTCTGATTTCTTGGTTGGTTTTTTTTTAATGTTTTATTGCAAAGTCTTTTCTGATATGAGAAAACAGGTTCCCTAAAAAAAAGTTCAAGTTAAAAACCTCCCTTAGTTTTTCTCAAAATTTACCAGTTTTTAAATTTTAAGTACCCATATCTGTAGCAAATGACTGTGTGTTAGAATGGTGCACTAAAACGTGCTGCTTCAGAGCCAAAGGATTTCTAACAGTGGTTTTCCAGTACGTGATTTTGCCAAAATCATCCATTTTCTAGCCCAGCTAACTGTGCTTGCTTTTGTTGTGTTGAAAGTTGCAGGCACTCAGAATAATAAAGAGGGAGAAGGGAACAGTCATTGGGCAGAAACCTAATTTTTAAGCTGCTAGATCATGGAGACCTGAGAGGGGAGCCTAGAGAGCTGTCTTATGACCCTAACAACTGATGTCAGAAAGGGAAAATGACACTTCTAAGCGAGGGATCCACATACCATTTTAAATCCAGTTTGAATCACTCAGTGAGTACTAAGGTGTATTGTAAGGGCACCATAATTTACACTGGAAATGAAGAAAACAGAACAGCTGTAGAATTTGCTTTAATAATTAGGCATTTGACAGTCAAGTGTCCAATTGGTAGCTCCACTGATTGAAGCAGGGACCTGAGACTATAACAGCAGTATTTAAATATTTAAATATCTAATGATCACCTTTTTGACTGCCCTGCAGAAATCCAAGAGTGTTTCTTTCTGGCTGATCATTCAGAACAAGATTTTGTAGTTTGGACTTGATTATCTCTATATAACAGGTTACAGTAGCATAAAATGGCAAGACTAACATGTTAGTACTTTTTGCTTCCCACCATTTTTATATTCTCATTGTTTTACTAAATGTAATGTGATAAATTTTTGGTCTTATCAATTTATTAGCCTTAATTAGGGTACTCACTCTCAGACAATTTACTTGCTGTTGGATATCATGCATTCCTTTCCAAATAGAACAGAAACTTCCATCGACTCCTTTCCAACTGCCTTTGCTATCCCTTGGGGTCTTGTTAAGCTAATTCAAGGGTTTTGGCTTCTGGATCACAATGATTATGAAGTAAGTATGTAACAGTTTACATTGCAGTGTAGAGCTGTAATTGATAAAATTATTTTTGAAAAATTGGTACTTAGATATTAAGAGATACTGAAACATTAGAAGCATTTTTGTAACACTGGTCTGACATGTGAAGCAGTAAGTTATGATTTGAAATTTCACTTTAACTACTTTGACAGGAAATTACTTAAAACAAAGGAGTAGTCAACTTTAATAATGCTTGATATTTGAATTTTCAAAGCTAGCCATCATAGGGGGTTTTCAGCAGACCAGTTGAGCACTTTCTCAAAGAGAGTGTTTTGGGTACTTTAAGTATGATACCTATGATGATAGCAGCAGGATTTGAGATGGAAGATTGCAGAAGTGACTTTTCAACCTAATTCCTTTTCTTCCTGATGCTGGAGGTTGTTCTTTGCCTGTCACCATGTCAATAGAATCAATTTGTTTGTAGAGTAACTTCTTATTTAGTGATATATTTGTAAAAAGGAATGTTTGTGCACAAAGATTTGTTAACTTAGAGAAGTCTGAATTCCTCCTTTTAAAACATTTGCTTTGTTCCGTATGGCTAACTGAATTTTTTCTCTGCAAATACTGAAGAATTTTAATTGACATGTCCTGGACCAAATATTTCATTAGACATCTAAGTGTGTTTAACCCACCTGTAGCCTTGCTTAAGGAAGTGTGGACTGTATGTGTGGCATGTGTGCATGTATATAGTCTGATAAACGTGATCTCTGACTTGTGCAGGATTCACTGGCCCTGCTCTTCCACCCAGCTACAATCAAAACTGTGCCACAATGATTATGAAGTAAGTATGTAACAGTTTACTTAGATTCACATTGCAGTGCAGAGCTGTAATTGATAAAATTATTTTTGAAAAATTGGTGCTTAGATATTAAGAGATACTGAAACATTAGAAGCATTTTTGTAACACTGGTCTGACATGTGAAGCAGTAAGTTATGATTTGAAATTTCACTTAACTGCTTTGGCAGGGAATTAGTTAAAACAAAGGAGTAGTCAACTTTAATAATGCTTGATATTTGAATTTTCAAAGCTAACCATCATAGGGGGTTTTCAGGAGACCAGTTGAGCACTTTCTCAAAAACAGTGTTTTGGGTACTTTAAGTATGATACCTATGATGATAGCAGCAGGATTTGAGATGGAAGATTGCAGAAGTGACTTTTCAACCTAATTCCTGTTCTTCTGATGCTGGAGGTTGTTCTTTGCCTGTCACCATATCAATAGAATGAATTTGTTTGTAGAGTAACTTCTTATTTAGTAATATATTTGTAAAAAGGAATGTTTGTGCACAAAGATTTGTTAACTTAGAAAAGTCTGAATTCCTCCTTTTAAAATATTTGCTTTGTTCCATATGGCTAACTGAATTTTTTCTCTGCAAATACTGAAGAATTTTAATTGACATGTCCTGGATCAAATATTTCATTAGACATCTAAGTGTGTTTAACCCACCTGCAGCCTTGCTTAAGGAAGTGTGGACTGTATGTGTGGCATGTGTGCATGTATATAGTCTGATAAACGTGACCTCTGACTTGTGCAGGATTCACTGGCCCTGCTCTTCCACCCAGCTACAATCAAAACTGTGCCGTGGCAACACAGGAGAATTATTCAGTCCCTGATGTGCCAAGGAGAGCACAGGCGAGCCCTCAGGTACATCCAGATGATGAAGCCATCCATGTCAAGCAGTAGCGAAGTGCGGCTTTTCCTCACTGTGCTGTTGTCCAATAGGTAAGGAAATCTGTCCCACTGTTTTGGCATTCAGATCCTGGGAAAGGGCGAGAGCAGATAATACAAATCGGGATCCTCTACATTTCCTTTAATCTTTGAATGAATACAATGACTTTGGGTCATCTTTTTGGTTATGCTGTTCCCATTCCTTTCCATCTCCCAAAAAACTACAGGTGCATGGTGGAGGCTTGGGGTCTGTTGCAGCAACATACCACTAAATTAAATGTAGAAGAGCTGTTAAAGCACATGTATGAAATCTGTCAGGAGATGGGGCTAATGGAGGATTTACTGAAGCTGCCGTTCACAGACACTGAAAAAGTAAGTTTGGAGAAGACAAAAAAGTCTGAATGGTCTGTTTGCCGAGAGAAGAGGCAGAATCCTAATAGGTTTTTGTAATGTGTTATTTCTCACAGGAGTGTCTGGAGAAGTTTTTACAGACCAATGCTGGTGTTCAGAATCATGAATTCCTTCTAGTCCACCATCTACAACGTGCCAACTATATCCCTGCACTACAACTGAATCAGTCAATGAAGGTTAATCTTATGGTAAGGGTAGAAGTCCTGTCGAGTGTGCACGAGTTTCTCTTCATGTGACTAACCAGTTTTGATAGTCCTCAGTAAAAGGCCTGCTTTATTTCTTGTATCATTCTTTGAAAGACTATGAATAAATTCCTACACATCAAGTTACAGCTAAACCTAAAAGCTGAACTACTGAAAAGCTAAACCGAACCTAAACTACTGGAAAGCTGCTTTGTGAAGTTGTGGATTAAATGTTACAGACCATGGTTGACTTCACTTGAAATAGTTTGTTTGCATCTGAGGAATAAATATGTATCTTTTCTTACCAGCCCATCTGTTCCTTCAGTTCCTCAGATCCTTATGTTGTGTATTGTTTAGACTGCAGAAGTTGTTCATGTCACTTGTTTCTGTGGATTGTAGTGTATGTTGTATGTCCTGTCTTGTTTTTGTAGCTGAGAGCAATGTGGGTGCTCCACAGGTGAAATATGAATGGTGGGGTTTTGGTTGGTGGGGTTTGGGGTTTGTTGGTTTTTTTGGTGGGGTTTTATTTGTTTGCTTTGTTTTGTTGGGGTTTTATTTGTTTGGTTTTGGTGGTCTTTTTTGGTTTTTGTTTGTTTGTTTTTGTTTGTTTTTTTGTTTTTTTGTTTTTTTAATTAGAGTTCGTTGGGCTTTGCTAGAACTACCAGATAAAAATGGTCTGTGCCACTGGATAGAAAACTTGCTGCAATTCTGTGCAGTGGACATATTTTACTGTATCTGTAGAATGCATTTAGGCCATAGTTAGGAAGAGTAGAGATATTTCCATGCAATAAACTTCTTGTAAATAGTTAACTTCTTGATTTATGCATTTTGTTTGTCAGAATGATCGTGATCCTCGCTTGAAAGAAAGAGCAGTTGCCAGAAATTCTCTGTTAGACCAATATGGCAAGATCCTTCCTAGAGTTCAAAGGAAGCTGGCTGTAGAGAGAGCTAAGCCTTACCGTTTGCCTTCATCGGTCTTAAGAGAAGGTAATTTTTAGAGGGAGGAAATATTATGGACAACCAGCCATCACTTTGATTACACAAGGCTGACATTTTTTCTCTTGCTTTACAGTGTCAAGGCCAAAGCCATTATCAACAGTAACACGACAGGCTAATGCAGGAAATGTGCACACACGAGCAACTTTCATCAGTAAAGTACTGTCCAAAATTGGAGAAGTATGGTTAGGAAATGAACAAAAACCAAACATTTCACAATATGATAGGTAAGCAGACTTTTCACAAAGTTTAGTCTTGAGCTACATGTTTGGACAGGGAGGGAGGGGGAGAGAAAGAGCAAGAATTCTGTTAGTGTTATGTTAGTGTTTTGGTGGAAAGGTACATGTGAATAAAGCTTTGGTTTGCATTTTTGCATATACCACATATTTAAGAATCAATCATAAATAATAGCTTTTCTGCTATGATAGTCTTATCTATACAAATATATGTATTTACATTATGGTAAATGTGTTTACAGTGTTTAAGATAGCTGAAGCTCAAACTGTTATCACTATCAAGCAGTTGGTGTACATACGTTGATAGACTTGTTTGTGTGATCACATAGTAATCTTTTACCATTTCCTGCCCAGTTTCTGCCTTTTTTACTTAAAAATAAGCAGAATTATGAAGAGCAGAAAAGAGGCTCGTAGTTGTCAGGTGATTGTCCTACAACTGATATGGTCAAATAAACTGGAATCATGGTATGTCTGGACTTTGAGGGAATGAAAGTCAGTTACATTTTCCTTTTCCTTCTAGTCCTAGAGCTGCAGAACCAGCAGTCATTACACATCCTCTCCCTGGTACAGAGTTGCCTGATGCATTTCTTGGGACACCTGTTACAAAGTTTTCTCAAAAATGTTCCAGGTATAGAAGATCTAGAGACTGTATGTTTCAAAAAGGTGTTTTTTATGTGTGTGTGTGTGTGTGTGTGTGTGTGTGTGTGTGTGTACTTTTTGTGTTTACCAAAGGTTCTATTGCATTTAGCTTTATATCTCTTAAAGAAAAGGTCAACTTAGGGACACAATTAAGTGGAAAATGTGAAGTGTCCCTGCACTGAAATGTAGATGAGTTTGCTCCTGAACTGAGAATTAGAGCATTTGTGCAACTTAAAATTGTTGCACGAATTGTATATCAGAGGCAGAGATTTAGGAAATTAGGTATGAAATGTAAAGAAATAATTAAAAAACACCCTAAAGTATCTGTCATTTGTTTGTGGGCCTAATGCGTCACCCCAGAAGTGAGGCTGCAACTGTATTTGTTGTTCATCAAATGTTTTTGTTCTGTATCATCTCAGATGAACACAGCATGACTTTTTCATTTATGTTCATAGCTTAAGTTGTGTGTCTTAACAGATTGCTGGATTTGGTGGTTCGTCCTGTTCCTTCCTGTTCTGCGGCACAGGGTGAAAGCTGGCAGACACCGTGCAGAGCTTCTACTTCTTTTGTGGCATCCAGCCCACTGCAATCAAGTACACATCACTCCGTCTCTCAAAAGAATTTTCCAAGAGCATCAGAGCTGAATTTACTGGAGACTCCTCTTGTGGTAAAGGTTTGTATTTTAAAAAACTGGTAGCAACCAACCAAAAGGAAAGCTTGTGAGCTTTGTTTAAAATTAGGCCATCAAAGTATTTAACAGGAACACTGCTGGATTAAAATTGCAAGATATTTTCAGTATGCATGGGGTTATTGTATACAGTCTTTCTGGAAGCAGTAAGTTGGAAACAGTCTTGAAGAGGGAAGTTTAATTCTCAGTTAATTGCAGCAGTCACCTTGTCCCATAGCTTTGAGAAATATTGTGTTTATTCCCTGGGACAATTAATGTCTGAATTATAATCTTTTTCTTGTTGTGAAATGTCACCCATACCATTGAACGAGCTTCTTCCTCCTGCTTTTTAAACCCTTTCAATACTGTGAAATATTTCTGAGCTAAGAAACCTGAACATTTCTACATGAAGATGTGTAGGTGCTTTTACAGGAGTGTCACTTCATATCATGCACAGCTGATTAATTAGTGAAGAAATAAGATGTGGCTGTTGCTTTGCAGAGTTGCCATGTTGGACACAGCAACTGGAAATGCTGCCATGTAGAATAACAGTTGAAGTTGTGTGCCTTTTGGAAAAGCAGTGTAGAAATTGCAAATTTACTGGGATAGAATATAACATTGCAGACAGCTAGGTGCCATATTCTTTTTTCTTCCAGAAATTAATTTGAAAAATATCTTTTTTTTTTTGTTGGCATTAAAAAAAACAAACCAAAAGAAACATAAGAAACATGAGGTTTTATCTTTAAAATTTTTGTACCTTTGGAAAAAACAGTTGCAGAGGCAAAACTTTCTCCCCTCTGCTACTATAAACCCAGTTTGTAATTTAAGCTCATACTTTTGACAGCTGCAGTTTTGTGTTTTGAAGATTTAACTGTTTTCAAATTAAATGTTTTTATTTCTTTTCCTAGAGAGCTAAAGTTTTGGCCACATCTTCTTCTGGGTTTCCTGGGTTTACTCCTCAGTCTATTCTCAGGTCCAGCCTTCGCACTACACCCCTAGCAACTCCCTCTGCATCTCCAGGACGATCAGTCACTCCTCCACTACGAGCCAAGGAACCTAGAATAACTTTCAGGGAAGAGAATTCTAATGCAAAATGGACTGTTGGGGTAAGCTGGGCTGCAGTTAGTGATTTTTGCAGTTAAATGCTGTGATTTGCTTTAAAGTTTACCAGTACTCTTTATACTGAGAATTTGGATTGCGAATTATAATGGCAGAATTTGGTCAAAAAAAGGTTGTTATGTTAGACCTTCTGTTCACGTGCCTGCAGGTTTATTATTGTTATTCATAATAAATGTCAGGGACCTTGGTGTTTTTTACTCAGGGGTTGTTAGGACCTGTGCTTGTTCAAACTGCTAATTCAGCTTCCAGCTGTACCTTTTCAAATGGTGGTGTGGCAGGAAGGTAAGGAATATAGATTGAGCCATTTGTTTGGGTTTATTAAATTTTGTGAATCAAACATGTTGGCAAGCAACAAAAGTCATAAGCTGCATTGACTTCCTGCCTGTCGTTTTGCAAGGCTGGGTTTACTTCAATTATGGTAAAAGAGACCCCCTATGAAGAGAGCTGTAGTGTTGTCTGTTCTCTAGCCCTAAAGTTCTCATGTTCGCTTCTTGCCTTGCACCACGGATAACATCCATGTGGTTTTCTACTGAAGTTGGTCCATCTGACAGTGGCCCCTTCTGCTCCTATAGTTGTTCTGTAGCTGGATTCCATGGTTCAGCCAGTCACGCAGTTGCCAACATAATGTACCAAAATCAGGGGCAGAAAAGGGGGCATGTTTTAAGATGTACATGTACGAGCTTTCTGTCCATGTCCTAACAAATTGTCTCAATCTGGTTGATTGTCTTTTATTGTCTGTTTTAAAGAGCTGAACTGTAATAAGAGGTTCTCTCTCCTGTATGAAGTTCTTACTAATAGTGGCACTGTAGCCAGATTAATTTACTTGTTCTGTGCTACAGGCATAGTGAACACTAGCATATTTTAGTAGTGCCTATGTGTTGGGAAGGAAAGCATAACAGAGACAAGTCTTGAGTAATGATTTTATTAGGCAAAGCTGTCTTGTTGAAAACACACTGCTGAACCCAATGAACAGCCTTGAGATGACATTATAAGTAAGCACTTATAAGACTGACTTTATCTTAATTCTTTAATGTTGTGGAAACTCAATAAGCAGTCGAAATTTTTACACTCAGCTTTAAATTTATGATAGTGCTAGAGTGAGAATTAATTTTGTATTGCCTTTTAAGGGGACATGTGTAACTTAAAAGTATCAGTATATATTTGGGGGGGTTTTTTGCTTTGACGGAAAGCATGCTCATGTTACTGATCTGAACTTTTTTTTAGGTAACAGAAGATGATAAAGCACTATTTGGAGCTTCATCTGAGCATCATGATGACACGGTAGAGGATGCTTGGTCTGAAAGTAGAGGTAAAACAACTCTGTTTACTCTGAGCAATGCTGGGGACAGTCATGCTGAATTGCAGGAGACTTCAGAAAACATATCTGGAGGTAATTTGGAAAAAATGGATGTCAGCAAAGAAAATAGTGACTTCTCTGTCAGATCAGACCAAACTACTTTGGAGTATCATGATGCAAAATCACCTGGTGATTTTGAAGATGATGTCATCTTTATAGCTGCTAAACCAGCTAATTCCTCCACTGAAGAAACTGCTGATATTCAAGAATTGGAGAAGGAAGGAGACAGTGAAATGACTGAAGATAAACCTTTCCAGATGGATCAACCAGATCCTTCGGAACCAAGAAAAGAAGATGGTGTGTTTCGTCCTATGATAATCTAAATTTCTGAATTTTTCAAATGTCTTTAGAAGATTAAGATGCTGATGAGTGCAGCAGTTAATGATGAATGTTCACAAGTGTCCTAGGCATTTCCTTGTCCTAGGTTTTAAAAATTACCATTATGTTTTCAGTAATTTTTTAGGTATCCTGGACATTATGAGTGTATACTTTCCTTGACTGGCATTTTTTGTGTGTAGTTGCAGCTGAAAGGCAGCAGTGATTTGTGGGAGTTTTGAGAAGGAAACAAGTTGAAAGCTTGGGCTTCTAGTTATCTTTTAGGGGTACTTCTGTAGTCAGCAGGTTTTTTTACAGCAAGTTTAGTGTATGGCATGCTTTGACTATTTTTTTTTTCTTTTAATCATCTTATTAGTGCTCAGTTGAATAGTTTTCTTCTGGAAGTGAGTCTGCTTGTGTATCTGCTACTCATTACAGCTGTGGTTGATCATTTTGCTGGCTCAAGAGCTTATACGGCCTTTTCCAAACCTATTTCAGTTGATCTTTGATAATTCAGCTCAATTCAACTCATTGATGCCAGTCCAGCTGCAGAGGATGTGCTCATATTAGCAGGTCAGCTGGCAGATTAGAAGAGATGTAGCTCACTAGCTGGTGCGCAGTGATGAAGAACTGGGAATGAAAGTAGTTCAGGAACAGGGAGAAGATATGCAAACAGCTACAGTCAGTATTTGGTAAACAGCTGAGTCTGCTGAACCCTTTATAAAAAAGTTTTCCTGGGACATGTAGGCAAGTGTCAGGAGTTCTGTGCCTGAGGTCTTGAAATGGCTCATAACAGTGAGTGGGTACTCCAGTATCAGTGCATCATATGCGTGCTGATTCAGTCGTAAGTCTGAGATGGTTCTGGAAGATCCTGAGGAGTGATTGTTACTGTTGAAGTTCCTCAGCTCCTTTTCTTATTCAGTAACAGGAATGCTCAAATACAGGCTCTATGTACATTGGTAAAAAGCATTCACCAGATCTGAAATTTTTAGTAAGATAGGTCAAAACATTTGGCTGTCCTATTTTAACAGTCTTGGATTTGGACAAGAAATCAAAGATGCTTTTCATTAAAACTAGTAAGGTACTAATCACTAAACAATAATCTTATAAAGAAACTTTGTCTTTGCATTCTTGTAAAGAGGAGAAATGGAGTAAGGAAAGAAAGAAGAAGTGCTGGAATGAGAGAAATAACCAAAGGGAAAAAAAACCTTTCTACCCATTTTTAAGAAGGAGAGATATTTTCTGAAGTTTTTATGTATTAGTAACATGGCAAGTTTAATTTGTAAACAGAATTAGCAGTGGTCGTTTTGTTTTCAGGACTGAAATTATGCATCAGGCTTCTTGTTGTACTGGAAAGAAGAATTCAGACCTTCTGCATTATTTTGTTAAATCACTATCCTAGATGAAATGCATAAAGGATCACTTTAAAATCATATGAGCATTTTAAAATTAAAAATGATGTTAAGTACAACAAGGAAGTAATCCATCTATTCGTTTTTGTAGGATTTGTGGAAGAATCAAATACTGAATGTCTTACACTTCCCGAGGATGATAAATTGATGTTTAAAGCTGCTGAGGCCACTACTTTTGGGGCTACAAATGAAGGGTGAGCTTATGAAATAGATACGTCTTTGGGTTCACAGAAAATATAACTGCTGGCTTTTCTGTGTTTGAAAACTGTGATTTTGACCTAGGATTGGTTCTTTTCTGTGTTCTTATATATAGGGGCCTGTCTATTCCATTCTGTCTGTGAGCAAAAGTAATCTGGCATGAATTTAATGCACATTGACTAGCTGTCAGTTTGAGCCTCGTTTCTCAAATTGTTGCAGACTAAAGGATGACGATAAAGACTTCATTCAATAGACTATATAAACCTTATTGCTGGTTGAGGCTTACTAAGTGGATACTGTGAACATAAGCCCTGCTTTTGTCTGAAAATTATGTAGTTAAAAATTAATCCTGAGATTCCTGTAACTTTAGTAAGTTTATTTTGGAGTTTGAGTGCTTTCTGGCAATATTTTATACACTTAATTTCTGTTTTCTGTGTGTGCTCAATTAGCATTTGTTTGTTTATGGAAAGGGAAGCAGTTTTCTCACCAGGTACTTTAAAAGCTGGAGGTGCTTGGTGATAAAGACAGAACGTTGGCAATGAAATAACCTTTAATTTCAAATGGTAACTTACACTGGTACAGACTTCTGTTCGGTTTGTTCTGAACCTCTGTTATGGTAGTTGCCCTCTTTCTACAGAAGTACTATATTATTCTTTAACACAACTCTGTTGTTATATTATTATCTAGTGTTAGGTAGCTGGGAAGAATGGGAAGTACTTGATTCGTTCCGTACAATGAGTCACAAATTGAATGTAAATATGTTGGTAAAGGAATTTCTAATTTTTCTTGAGTTTTTTCTGGCTTGAAACTTGAAGATTTTACAGTGAGAAAGTAACTTGTAAAGCTCTTCAAGGTTTGTTTTCAAGAGTTCTGATGAATTCCTTTCTTTCTGTTCATGAAGTGAAACAAACTACCAGGAGTCTGAAATGACCTCTTCATCAGAAGAAAAAGCCATACCAGTTGCAGCAAATCCACAGCTCTCTGAGTTCCTGGAGACAGACAGTGAATGTATGTACAGTATGTTGGAGGTGTTCTGTGAGTTAAGGTAGCAGAACTCCTGAAGTAAAATGTGTAGTTTGTGATACCACTACAGGTGTCTCAGATTGAAGTAGTACAGTAGCACATTACTGTCAACTTTCATTAAACTATAGAGACAATACCCTCCCTAAAGAAAGCCCTTGTAGAAGATGCATAGTGAATCATCCTGCTCTTGATCAAGATGCTGAGAATGCTGGTAGAACTTAAAGTATTATAAGGAGAGATCAGTATTTATTTTAATGTTGTACACCACTACTAACTTGTGTGCCATGGGATCTGCTGAGTTACTATTTTAAAAGTTGATGCATCCTCAGTACTCAGACTGAAGAAACTGTCTACCAGCATGCTTTTCCGGCCACCTTTTCCTCTCTTTTTTTGCCTGTGGACTTGACAGCTGATTTTCTCCTTCCTCTTTCTTACTGTGGGGCTGCATCCTCTAACAGGTATATAGTTGTTGTGATTTAAACACAGTTGTTAACTAAGGCCCAAACAGCTGCTCACTCATTTACCTTGGAGTGGAATGGGGGAGAGAATTGAAAAGCTAAAGGTGAGAAAACTTGTGGATTGAGATAAAGACAGTTTAATAGGGAAAGCAAAAGTCTTGCATGCAAGCAAGGCAAAACAAGGAATTAATTCGCCAGTTCCTCTCTTCAGTCAGGTGTTCAGCCATCTACAGGAAAGCAGGGCTCCGCTGTGTGTAATGGGAAGACAAGTGCCATAACTCCAAATACTACCTGCTTCCTTCCTCTTTCCCCTGCCTTTTATGCTGAGCATGATGCCGTGTGGTATGGGATATCCCTTAGGTCAGTTGGGGTCAGCTGTCCTGTCCTGACTGTATCCCCCCCCACCGCAAACTTGTTTTGCACCCACAGCCCACTTACCGATGGGGTGGGGTGAGAAGTAGAAGCAGCCTTGGCTCTGTGTGAGCGCTGCTCAGCAGTAACTAAAAACATCCCTGTGTCATCAACACTGTCTTAAGCTCAAATCCAGAACACAGCAATACCAGCTACTATGAAGAAAATTAACTCTATCCCAGCCCAAATCAGCTCAATAGTTTTGGCTTGTAGTTTTTGGAGAAAGCCCAATATATGTGACAGGATGGAGAACTGTTTTGTTGGCTCCTGCTCCCTCTGTTATTTCCTGTTGATTAAACTTGTGTCATTTATATAACAGTTAAGTTAAAATGACATAAATCTCTTCCAGCTGTGATAAGTATCCTTGACAGTGAGGATGTGGTCAGTACACATTCAGAAAATCGCCTTGAGGGGAAGTGTGTGGATTTACCTGAAGAATGTAACCCTGAAGCAGCTGAAGTTGAAAAAGTCCCTGTTTCTAATAGTCTTCCTAAAACTGAGGAAATTCATGTAAGTAAATTAATTTCCCATTTTCTACAAAATAGAAAAGAGTTTTCAAATTGAGGACAGATCTGTTTTACTGGCAATTAGAAGGCACACAAAAATGTCTCAGTTTCTTTAGCTGCTTGACATGAGTTAAAACCTCATTACATGTACTTTTTTTCACTTGTGCGTTTTCTGTTCCTGTAACATAGAATAGAACCTGTCAAGACGTAGGCCTTTGAGGGCTATATTAGTACAAAATAAATGCCTGAACTGTTTTTCAAAATAACCCTGCATTCATTTGGTTTACTGAAATTCAAGCATTTTTTGTTTGACTTAAAAAGAAATAGTTTTAATATTAAAAACAATAAGAAAGCTTCTTGATATGGGGAGCTGATTACCAAATGACAAAATTATGTGGGAACCAAACTCACTTTGAGAATGATTTAGCTGCTTAGGTCCTTTACTATTTGTTCCTTCTTAACACAAACAGAATTCCCAGTAATGAGCTCATTTTGGTGTCAAGATATTTCTTCATGAGATGGAGGTATTTAGAATGTGTTATCTCGTGCAATCCAAGTGACTCCTTCAAGTGCAGTGTTGACTTTCTGCATGTGATACCTGGCCAGTCTGACTAACTGTTGCAGTAACACCTATCATGACCAAAACTTTGAACTCCAGGGACATAATTGTGTTTCACCCTGTCAGACACAGAGTGGATCACTCTTGTGGGTGTGGAGTCGTGCAGAAGGCACTGCAATGTGATGATCAGTGCCAGTTGCATACACACCTTGTGTTGTAAAACTGCCCACTGTCCGTGGGCGGTGGCACATGGCTAGTCCTGAATGGAAATACCAGAAAGGGAGCCTGTGAATTGCATACACTGACTGCTCTGATCTCTGCCCCTTAAATGAATGAACTGTCATCTCTAGTAGAGAGTACATTGTATGTTTCTAACTTTACATTCAGTGGTGATCTGAAAGAAAAAGCAGCTTTTCACTGTCTTCAGTTTCATCTAGCTCAGTGTGAAGTTAGTCTGTCTGATAAGGAATAAAGTATTAACAGACATTTTTTAACTTCAGGTTATTGAAGATACTTCAGAACCACCACCTGAAACATCACCATATAGTGAACTAGATCCATCGGGCAGTCTTCATTATAGCTATGAAAATATAGAGCAACAGTTTGCATGTGATTTGCCTGATAATAAAGATAGTGAATGTGATGCGGCTGAGGGAGATGGAGACCTTTTTCTGTCTCAGAGTAGTTTTAGCTTAGTTTTGGAAGGAGAAGAAGGTGAAGCAGAGATGGGAGATCCTACATTAGTAGATGCTTGTAAACCAGAAGGCACAACAATGGAGGAAAAACCTGTGACCAATTTAGGAAATACTGAAAGCCAAGAACATGTTACAAACTCAGTGTCCACTGTAACTGGTGATCAGGAATCTCAAAATACTGCAGAGTCATTCCCATATGTGCCTGAACCCATTAAGGTTGCTATTGCTGAGAACTTACTGGATGTTATCAAAGACACAAGAAGTAAAGAATTTACATCTGAAGTTGTAGAACAATCTATTCATGAAACTATAGGTAAAAAGGTAACTAGATTCCAGAAGGCAAAAGCTTTCTTAACACCTGTGCCAGAAAGAGTGGAAGAGGAAACCAGCAGACATCAAGTAGAGTATGCCATTGCTCCAAGAACACGCACAAGGGGACAACTGAGTAGAAATCTAAGTATTCTGTCAGCAGACCCTCAGCAACTACTGAAGACAGGCACACCAGTTCCATTTGGACTATCTCCTCGGAGGAGTACCAGGCGAACAAAAGAAGCATCTGAGACTTCCAGTCTTCAAACAGAGGAAAATCTTCAAGAGGAGCAAATACCTGCAGTGCCTGTTACTCCTAGGAGAGGTAGGAAACCTAAACTGACTCATTTAGAAAAAACAGAAAGCAGCCATTCTGATGGACAAACCTCATCTGACACTATGCAGTCCATAGCTGTTACTCCAAGAAGAAGATTAAGAAGAGCAAAGGAAACTGCATCTGAACTCTCAGAAGAGGCTAATGAGGAAATGTCTCTTGCTGAAGGTAGCATTATTACCTCTTCTACTTCCAAAAGGATTAGAGGAGGAAAAGCTTCAGCTGGAGATCCAAAAACTGGTGAGACTGACACTGATCGTAAGATAAAACCAGCAGTCAGTCCCAGTAGAAGTGCAAGAAAACCGAAAAGCTTTAATTCACAGTTTACTGAAAATACTGTTCAGGATCAAGAGGTGCAGCCTAGTGACCAACTCCTTTTACCTGTGCCAGCTAAAAGAGGCAGAAGAAGAAAGATAAGTTCTTCAGAAGTTTCAGAAAGTTCTGATCTTGATCTGTCTAAATCATCGCTTCCTCAGACAGAATTTAAACTTCCTGCCACTCCTAGAAGAAGTGCTAGGAAGGGGGCACAAAATCTTATGGCAGACACAGAGTCTACCTCTACTCAGGAAGACATAAATTCAGGTGGGAAAGTAGAAGTCCTTGGTACTCCTAGGAAAAGAGCTAGAAGAGTGGCACATGAGAAACCAGAAAAAACGGATACTCACGAGCAAACACCTGCACAGCCAAGTGAGGAGCCAACCACACCCAGGACTACAGTAAGGACAGGGCGTCGGGGCAGAAAGAGGCGATCAAGGTCGGAGGAGGCCCTCCCGCAGGGACCTGATGGCAGTCCTTTGCTGCTTGAAGACATAAACCCATCAGGACATGATCAAACATTGAGAGCTCTAACAGATCGTGTTACAAGAACCAGATCCCGCAAAACTGCCACGCATCAGAAACTGACTGTTGAGGAAAATGAGTCTTTTCATTTCTCTCCTCCTCTCACAAAGCTGACAAAGAAATTTGAAGGTAGGTGTGCTATGTTTGTACACAAAATAGGACACATTCCTCTTCTTTAAACCACAGAATACAAACAGTGAGGATGGTTTTAAGAATTGTAAGGAATGTAAGCATGCAAAAAAAAAAATTTGGCTAGAGGCATTTTTTTTTTGACTGAACTCTACATGACTGCCTGGTTAGTTCTAGTGGAACTAAGAGGTTATGAGGCTGATCTAAGCACTGAAATGAAATTTAAACTGAATTTTTGTTTTTGTCAGTTTTGAAAACCAGGGGTTATCTGTGAATATGTGATTGCTGTGCCATCCCTTCCCCCCAGCAGAGAAATAAAGGAGCCATGCTTCCAAATTCTGTTCAGTTTTGAAGTTCAAATTGCATCTTGCAATAAACTGTACAGCTGTTAAATTATGTGATTGTTTTTCATGGGCATATACTTTGTCAGCAAAATTAGTGTGCGTAGGAATATCTTAATTAGAGTATATGATAAATTTTTTTGAGATGTGTAAGGGCTGTTGGTGCCTTTTGAGCATAATGTCTTTGATTATATAAGTGCACTTAAAATCACTACACTGGCTTAGTTTTGTTTCACAATTTGCTGTAAAAGAATGGATCCCAAAGGGCAGTTACTGGGAGAAAAATACCTTTGCATGGAGAGTTTATAAACTTGATTGGATCTTTTGTTTCAGGAAGCTATTGTGCTCTTTTTTATCAGCCGTAATTTAACATTACTGTCCTTCATGTATAACGTATGTGCATGCTGACAATGCATTGTCATTTTAGCTGGAAAAGCAGACCATCCTGTGCAGTTTAAGGATTTAGACCCGGATTTGTCTTCTCAGTTTGTCTTTTCACCCCCTCTTTTGAGGTCAAGAAGAAAAGATGTATCTAGCATTTCCCGAATCGTGAAAGAACCAGTAAGTAAAAGCTCTAGTTGTCCGATGTTCTTGATTTTTGCTCTGTACCACTTTTTGAGATCATACTTTGCAATGTTTTACCTTATTCCTTGGAAACTTATCTAAAAAGAGAGCTTTAATTGAATCGGCTAAACAATTTATTTTTTTTTCTTCATGAAAACTAGCTACAAAAATCAGTTTTGAATCAATGTAAGTCAGGAATTGATAAAAACTTTTGAAGGCACAGTGGCTTTCTTTAAACTTACTTGGTATGTTATCTGTTAATTTCAGAATTTGAACTTTTAGGATGGTAAAATAATTTGAGGCGGAAGGTTTGTTTTTGCAGAGGGTAACTAATACTTTTGGAAATAACATTATAATGACTTCTTAATGAAATAAACATTCATTTTTGTTCTGTAGAAGTGTACGAACTTCTTCCTGAGTAACACTTTTGTTGCCTTAACATAGGAGCTTCCAACTAAAGAGGAGGAGGATACCAAATCCATAGAATCTGGGGGAAAGCAAAAACTGAAGAGAGCTAGAACTACAAAATCAAAAATTAAGAAAACAAGCAAGTATGAAATTATTTTTAAATAATTATTTGCATTTCTTTATTGTCACAGCGATTCAGCTGTCAAGCACCTAACTACTTCTTCCTCGCTTGTTCGTGCAGTTCTCCTCTGACTATATGAGCCTGTCCAGCTTGCTGGTTTAATAGGCACCTTTTTCCCCATTTAAGGGTTTGGTTTTCTGATGGAAATGGAAGAGGGAGGGGATAGGAAAGGGCCCATGGATACTAATCATTGCAATAATGTCATGCTCTTAATTCACTCTTAATTAATTGTCTTAATTCACCTTATGAAACCACACTCTTACGGTCTTTAGTTCCCCATACAAGGCAGGAAGGAGCCAGACAATAAGTGAATGGAACTTTTTGTTTCTGGACATGTTTCCTGATTCTTTCTGGAAAACTGTTTGAGGACAATTTGCCTCTTAGCAGCTGGGACAGGGAGCTCTAAAAGCTCTTATGAATAGTGACCAAGAATGCTTGGGACAGTCTGGTAAGGAATTAAAGCAAAATGAAACTTACTTAGGTACCTTTTAATTCTGTCTACAAAGAAACCAATGAATATTTCTTCAGCATTAATTTTGTGATTCCATGGTATTTTTTTTTTCCTCTACTAAATACTGTTGGTTTTAAAACATTGATTTGATACTTACCTTTCTTTTCAGAACCACAAAAGAATGTTCTTGGTCACCTCCACCTGTGGAAGTAAAATTCATCTCTCCTTTTGCAAGTCCAGTAGATGGAACAAAAAGCAAACAGAAAGAAACCACAGATGCAGCAGGGAAGACTCTAAGAAAGAACAAAAAAAGACTGTCTAATTTTCCAAAGCCAGTTTTGCGCCGGAAGATGCTGTAACTGTTTTTTTAAAGTTTATAATGTACACCACTGTTTGTAAAGTCATCAAAATTGTGTGAATTAGTAAAAAGAAGAAAAATCATCTAATTTGGAAGAGATAATTTATATAAATTATTGTAAAATTTCATAAAAAATGGTCTTCAGTAAGTAACTCCATATGGAGTGTGATTTCCTCAGTCAATGCAGTTTTCTATTTTATATTAAGACTTCATACATTTATATAATATGTAAATACAGCTTATTTTAGGAATGTTAAATAAAAATGTATACTTCACAATGTGCTTACTGTCTGATAGCTTTTTGAGGGAATATTGGGTTGAATGACCTGTATTGCTCAGAACTTTTAATGTTGGTTTGTGGGAGTTATAGACCCTCAAAAGTAATTCTAAAAGCTTTTGAAAGGTTTGTTTAGAATTCCTATAACAAGTAAACATTTTAAACATACTAGTTTAAATTTTAGAAATTATGTTTGACCTTCAGGTACAAATAATTGGACTCGCAATACAAACTGGTAATTCCTTATGTTCACAGTTAAGTTGTACTGTACTGAAGTCAGAATGTAAACAATTGTGTTTTAAGCTGTGCAATATTTTTTTGTATTTGTCTTAAACTTTGGGAGAGCTGCTCTTTAGTTCATAAAACTAGATCTCACCTCAGATGTTTTGCGATTTCTTACAGTTTGTTGTCAGCAAAAAATTAACTGTATAGATGGTGTGATGCTTACAATAGCATATCAAATTTGAAGAGATACTACCCACATACTTTGAAATTTGAGCCAAAATTATTTTCATAATGTTAATATGAATGCTACTATAATTGAAATACTTACTGTCTGTAAACATATTTTGCAGTATTTGAGGCCTGCATATCACAGCACTGAAAACTTGATGGAAAAGCTAATATAATAGTCTGAAAAAGGTACAAAAATGTACAGAAATCTTAGTTACAAACCATATTTTTGAATAATTATTTCATTAACAGTCTTTGGTTAAGGAGTAAATGTCCCTATAAAGCTTCAATTTGTATAAATAAAGTCACAAACCTATTCTTTTAAAAGCAGACATGGAAGTACTATTTTGATGTGCAGTCTTTTAGACAATGGATTATTTTTCTGTATGTTAATTTATATATGGATGCAACTTTGAAGACTACAGAATGGTGGAACCTGATATTAAACTTTTCAATTAGTAAAAACTACTACAGTTACTCTAAGACATAATTTATTTATTAACTAATAGCTTGTACATAGTGAATGAATGTATTAATAATAGACTAAACTTGTAAAAGAAGATTGTTCTGGGACCATGATTTTTCTATCAGAACAGGTCATTCTAGAGAATGACCTGCATGCACTTGAGTATTTTTCTCCTTGGAGGAATATTCATGACTGAATGAAAACTTTAAAAAATGTCAGATGTTTCAAGTGTGAAAGTGGCAGTTTGGATGAGACCTTTTACTCAGGTTAGTAATTATTTTCTCTGAGTATTCTGTACTTGAATGACAGTATAAATATGGTCAGAGGAGAAGAGAGGGAAGTTCTAGCAATATTTTTTTTAATCTACATTGTACAGAAATGCAGCAAATAGCTCAGAAAATGAGGTAAAAAGTCAAACTTTCAAAACTGAAAGAGAATATAGATTGCAAATCAGATTATGTTTTGCGTAGTACACAAGAGTATTTATAAAATACTCCAGTTCCTGTTAAATGGAATTTTCTGATATAATCCTAGTGAAGATTACTTAATAGGGTTTTAGCATGTTTCTGTCATATACTTACATATATGTATATTTTTTGTATGAAAATCAATTAGAAGAGATGAAAACATAATATTAGCTAAATAATGTTTAGCCTCTTTCTTTGCATCAGCTAAATTCTCATTTGGCTGTACTTAGGAAGAAAGCAAGCAATAACAATAAAAAGACAACTGGCGTTAGGTTTAATAACTCCCTAAAGGTTTGTAATTTTCTAGTAATTTTTTAGTTTGAAGGAATGTTAATTATATGTTAAAATGTTTTACTCTTTTTTTTCCCTTTTTTTTTTTTTTTGGTGATTTGGATTCGATGCGTTGTTCTCCAGTGCTCACCACTTTCCCCAAGGAGCAGTTTAAAAAGGAGTGTGAGCATAATGTGTAACAAGGAATGAGAGTTCAGAAATTTGAAGGACATAGGAGGAAATGGAAGCAAAAACAGACACTGAATTTCTATTATGAGCCTGAGAAAGGGAAAAGCTAGCTAACAGTGTGAAGATGGCAACTCAAAGATGGGTTTCTAATGAAGTGGAGAAAACAGATTTTATGTGGGTGCTTTTTGTGTAGACTTGCTACAAGTATGTATAGGGTGAGTGGAAGAGATGATTTGCAGATGTTTGCATGTGTATCTGAGAGGAAGATAATATGCGTAGTGCCAGAGAAGGGTGTGAGGGGCCTGTGAAAGGAAGAGGTGATGCACTGTTGTGGATGCATGCAGAAGGCTGTAGGGGCATAGAGCGGCAGTTTTCTTGCAAACAATGAGAACTTCATGGGAGCTACTCAATACAGCTCATCACTAAATAGAGCATATTTATAAATAGGGGCCCCCCTGGTGGTCTAGTGGTTAGGATGTGGCACTCTCAGCGCCACGGCCTGGGTTCGGTTCCTGGTCAGGGAACTCCTCCGGGCAGATGGAGCTCGTCAGCCCTGTAAGGCCATCCATCTAAGAGAAGGTCACTCTAAACAAACCTACGTCCTGAGGACCTCACTACCTCTGTCCAAGCTCGCTCGGCCCCGGCAGATGAACCTCAGGATTAAAGGGTGGGCTCAGTTCAGCGCACACTGTGTCTCACCTAAGAAATCCACTGCGCGGGCTCGAAGGGTTAATGACCTTTCCCAAATCTTCGTTCGCGAAGACTGGCCATGATGAAATAGAGCATTGTTTTCTATAGGCAGGTAATTGCTTGAAGGGTGTGTATTTTTCTTCGTTAAGGAAATGTAGAATTCCTCAAGAGTTGATGCATCTCCTTTGATCTAATGTCAGATGGCTAAAAGCTGAAGCCAAATTGTGCATCTGTTCCTTTGGGGCTGTAAGACAAGAAAATTCCAATGGAACATTGACGGCCTTGGGATAGCAGAATCCCACCTCTCAGAAAGAATAAAATTAGGTGTAATGGCAGATTTTATTTCCAGGAAACACACAGTAGGAGATATTACTGAAGGGAGAATGAAAAAGATTAAGGGCTGTTGTTAGAAGGTATTCTATCAAGAGAAGAAATGTTTCAGTGGAAATGGTTCCCTGCATTACCTCAGAGAGTTAACACAAATATTCCTAAGACCTTTTTTCTTCAAATGTTTAGAAGTTAAGGCTGATGAAAGTATTCTTTCCAGGTTATAACACAAAGGAGAGTTAAAGTGAATCTATTTTACTTTTGATAGATACTTGGTGCTAAAGTGCTAATTGATTCACATTGACTTTGCTTATTAGCCTTAATATTTGTACATGCCCAGTGTGCAGATAAGGGCACAGATAACTAATGTAATCTCCTATCAGAACTTCCTCTCATGGAAGACTACTCTCAGGGTTGTTAGCACAATATTTTTTTTATTTGCTGCAATTTCATCACTTCCCATGTGATTACTTCCCATGTAACGAACCATAAATAGCTAATAGTTGTTGATTTCTGGTGGGAAAAGAGAAGCTACAGGCAGAAACCATTTCATAGGTTCTCTTGAATAGTTAAGCAATGCTTGTAACTGATTAGTTTAGACCAATCTGAAAATTCTAAAATGACAGAATTTTAGATAATAGGGTAGCATTTGTTTCTTTTGTTTGTACATTTGTCTTCTGTGCAAAACTTCTGGGTTACCATTCTAGGAATGCTTTTTTCATCAAAGTAGTCAAGATAATGAGTCTGTTTGATATGCTTGGAGATAAATGTACTGTGGTTCCTTTTGAATTAAAGCTGTCCTAAAATAAAATGCATTTTCCGATGCACTGGGCTGTGTGGATGTCCAGTATGTGTGAGGCAGAGGCAAAGATGCAAGTTGTGGTTATTTGCTGAATGATGTGTCCATTCATTCAGGTCAGTTACTCCTTGTCTGTCATGGTTCAAGAGCTGGCTTATCCCACAGCAGTCATTGATGTGTTGTGCATTCTGCAGAACTTGGTTTAAATCCAGGCGAAAACATGAATTATTAATGAATGACTGATGGCTTGTATTTTGATACTCTAATTGGGATTTTAATAACAAAAGGATGCAGGAAGTAGGTGTCTGATTTCTGTAAAAATGAACAGCACAAGCATTCAGGAATCCAGGGCACAGGAAAATCTTTACTTTTGATCTGACCTTTTGGGGCTTCTGAGTATGGTATCTTTCCTAAAGGACAAGAATGGCATGCTCATCTCAGCAGGATCCAACAGTCACACAAGCCAGGTAACATTTTACTCAAAGAACCAACTAAAGTCAGTTTTAGCTAATATACTGTTGTAGACTGTTTTTTAATATCTCCTTATTAACATTCATGTAAGTGTAATGCAAATGTCTGGTGTTTACCTGTTTACTGGTTTGAAGTGTTACCTAGATGTTATCTACATTTATGACATCCTGCAACTCAGTGCTACTTTCAAGCATGTTTGCAAATCTTGATTCCTAATTTAAACTCTTAGTGGGGACACTCCTACTGGACAGCAGTGCTTGCACATCTATGAAGAGGATGCACTTGGTGGTTTGTTTTGTTTTTTTTTAGAGAGGGGCCTTTTGTGGTTTTGGGCATGGAGTGCTGGAGAACACTTGGTCAGGTTATAATGCTGCTCTGCTGGTGTACAGTCAGACCAGCCCAGAGAAGAGCTATTTGATGATTGGTTATGGTGCAAGCAGTGACCCAGCGCCTGTTGTGTGTAAAGAGCTCTTCAAAGTCACCTGACATCAGGAAAAGACCAAGCAGTACCACGTGGGAGTAGCACAGAGCATCATTTATTTCCAAGAATTTTCCAGATTGTACTATAAAAGACGCAGTTAATTTCAAATTGGGGAAAATGGAAACTGAGTATATGGAGCAACTTAGAGTAAAGCCACTGTGGATCCTATAAAATAGTGTTGAATTAGAAGTTGGTGTATTACAGCTAGATTTACAGATAAACCCTAAAATAATTTGTCAAGGCTGTAATTAATTGATCCCTAACATTAGAACCAAAAATGTCAGGTTTTAGTAACCCGTTTTAAAACAACTGTTCAAACACTGATCTTTAATATTCTTTATGCTTCCAAACTTCACTCTTGCACAGGGTATTCATGAGAGTCTTTCCACCATCTCAGTAAAGAAAATCGATGCTTTCTTCTTACAGCTTTATACAGGACAGAAGCTTTATTGTGCCATACCTCTTTATGCACTAGAAGTCTTTTTTTTTTTAGTCTTAGTACAGTTTTTGTAGCTGCTGGGTGCTCCTGCTCCATCACCATCCTTCTGTGCTTGTAGTCCAGTGGATTCTAGCACTGCTGTAAGCAGAAAGCTTCACTCCTGTGCAGTAGTGCCTTCTGTCTACAACAGTACCACCCTGGTGACTGATGGCTGCTTGTGAATTACTCCTGTGTTACTTCCCTCAAGAAAGAGCACTTTGTTTTCCCTAACCAGCCTCCCCAGCTCTGTGCCCGCAGAAATAATTTAAGGATACAATTTGTGAACATGTTGCTGTTTTCCTTTGACATCATCCACTGTGCGTCCCTGTGGTAAAAACAACAGTGAAAACTCACTCCTTCCCATCTCGCTCGCATTATCAACATGGAAATGCATAACCCTATTTGAATCTGAGTTACTCCTATTTAAGACAGGTCTTGGATAGAGTGAATAAAAAAAATCATGTCCTGGATCTTTATTTGTACTTTTAATTCTCAACCTTTAAGCTGGTACAGAACAGCTTGGTTTTTGGTGGGTTTTTTTAAAGTTAATGAATTTACTATTGTGAAGGTTAACATCTGATGTCAGTGCCTGCCCAAGTAGTGATGGGATGTTACAAATCTACTAACCCAGGGCATCTTCCTTCCTGGTCACAGGAGCCTGCCCAGATGCGCTCCATACCTTGGGGGTGTTTCTGTCCAAGTCCCATGGATGTGGCTGCTGCTTTCTTCTCTTGGCAAGTTTGGCCAGTAGCGAGGCTGAGCATGCACCATGCACGTGCATGACACCAATGAGTCTGGCTACATAGGTTCTTAGAGACAGGGTTGTGCCT